CCCAATTTCAATAGGGTTCGTCCTTGGGCCAAATAAGTGATCTGTGCCAAATATCATCTAAATCGGATGATAAATGCGACCTGTACTTTGTTCACAAAAATAAATGGACGGACAGACGGGCATGCGTATATCGACTCAGAAAGTGATTCTATGCATATTCTCAAAAGGAACTATGTGTATATCTCGTTTCCTTTTGCATGTTACAAACATATGCCCATAATAATACCCTGTACCACACAGTGTGGTGAAAGGTATAAATATTTTCTATGATGTCGGAAATCATGGAAAATAGTTTGTTAATTACTCTCTCTCCCTCTCTGTTTCTTTATCACTCACTTTCTACGTCAATTTATTAATACCCATTGAAAATGTCGATCTTATCGGACAGTTTTTTTCAACACAGTATCAATACATAGTTATTAAAATAATAAAAAAAATAAAATTGACTTACCTTATTTTTTATCAGCAGTCTGTATTTGAATTTTTCCAATTTTCTTTTTTTTTTGAAATGCGAATTGAATTTGATTTTTGAATTGTTTGAATAATTTTGTTTGTGCCGATTTAATTTCATAGATAAATTTGATCATGCCACATAGAATTGTATCTTGCGAATTTGTTTAGTAAGTTGATTGTCGATTTGTGTTCTGAAAATCGAAATACAATATAGTGTGTGATAGGAATATAAAAAACAAAAAAAAAATCCAATAAGAGAAATTGACAATATTTACAAAAATTATTAGAGCTATTACCAATAACAAAAATTAGTCTCTATTTCAAGGGATTTTTAAAAGAGGGGACTACTGATATTATAATAGCAGGCACTATGATATACAATATATATCTACTTATTTAATACACCAGTAATTACTCGGGAGGAAGACAAAATTTAAAAATATCTATCGCCACATAATTCTACAGAAGAATAGCACAAGAGTGCAATGCTGGAATAAGCGTACAAAATCAAATATACTTACAGCTTCAAGCAGGTTCCTGATCTTTTTTGCACTTAGTAATAAGTGCAAAAAATTAGAAATCAAAAATTTGTTTACCAAAATCCGAATAAAATGACAAGCTAAAAAAAAAAACATCCTAGGAGAAAGAGAAAATAACAAATTAATAGAATAAGCTGAAACATTTTCAAATTAAAAATAAAAAATTGGATTGGAGAGGATAGGATAGGATATGAGCAAAGGAAAAGGTGATGGGCTAATGTGGGCAAGCTATACATTTAAGTTTATGATATAATCAGGGTACGCAAAAATTCGCTCGCGAATGATTCAAAATACATTCTTTATCGTTTTGTGCTCATTGTACGAATGAATTTATGGCGATAAATTCTTTACCAAACGAGCATTCGCAAAAGAATGTTCGCACACAGATAAAAAAAAAAACGAGTGAGAGCACAAAACAAAAATCGTTCGTTTAGTTTGATGGTTGAAATTTTTTCTGACATTCTCTCACGAATGAAAACAACAAACATTCCCGAATTCTCGCGAATGCTCAATTGAATGTGTGTGACAGAATAGTGATATTTGCTCTCGCAGAGAGCACGCGTGCGGTGGTTCGCCGATACTGTTCCGCACACTTTCTGCTACACACACATTCATTGCTTGTGTGTATTTACTTTTTTATCATATTTTTGTTTGTTGTAGTTTTTTTAACAGTGCTCTCGAGCATTCGTGAACATTTGTTTTTTTGAGTTTTTTCAAAAGAATGTCCTTCAGCAACAAATACTCGCGAACGAACGAATCGACGACGCTTGCAGCGAAATTTTATCGTTCGTAAATTTTTTATACAATGCGAACATTTTCGAGAGATTGCATTGCATATCATTCGCGATAAATTGAAAACATTCGAATTCTCGCCCGTGAGCATTCGTGACTCTGGTATAAAAACGATTGTAAAAGGAGGGACACTGGAAATGACTGAATTACTTTTATTCATAAACATTTTCAGTATCCATCTTCTTCTGTGAAAGGAAGTAAATTTGAGAGATAATACAACGGTTAATTTATACAATTTCATTACAAAATATATATAAAAAAACAAATAATATTTAATATACGGTACACACTAGCCAACATGAATGACAGTTAATACGATAGCTTGCTAGAAGGACTTGATCAAGGAATTAAAAAAAAAAAAATTAAGGGTCATTAGAAAACACACAAATAATATCAATACAAGCGATAATTGAATATAAAAATATATTTTCTCAGAGAATTTCAGATTTTTATAAAAAAAATATTTTAGAGACTTCCATTGGCCTGGATTTTTATTTTAAAAACCAGTGAGCGGAGCAGTATAGTCGGACGGGCCCGACCATATGATATCCTACACAATAATATCTGAATATGTAAGCACATGTAATTATTTACGTGTAAATCCCACATCCGAGTACATACGACAATATAATTGGTATCAATTTAAAGCCCAACCACTACTCTTGGACGTAGACCCAAGAGGTTGATAGTATCTCTCGGGTCTACGTCCTTTAAGGGTAAATCTATACGGTATAGAATACAAATTTTGTCATTCTTCAGACAAGAGTCAGGATCCATTTGACCCGCTAAATATTGACCGATCATTACCAAAACAGGCATGCTTATTCTTCAACCCAGTCCCCTTCTCCATGTAAAAATTCGCAATGTTTGGGCCACAATTGAGGCCTCCGGAGCGACCAGAAAATCAGACAAAAATAAAGTTTTTGGTCCATTTCATCCCCTAAATATTAACGGATCTTTAACAAAAACAATAGCGGTCTTTATTGGGCATGCAAAATTTCCTACATGCAAAATTTCGCGAAGATATCGTACTTAAAGGTGGGCCTAGGACCAATATTTCGCGACGTTACAAACTCTTGGGGCTACACAAAGCTATAATACCCTGACAACATAGTTGTGTACAATAGTGGTGGTGGATTTAAAAAAAATAATTCTTCAGGAAATAAAGTTTTTCAAGGATACCATAGGCGTGTATTTTTTCAAGAGCTAACATAGGTGTGGATTTTTTGGCTTGGTTTAAAAAAATTTCAGGGATTTTTAAAAATATTTTCTCAAGGCCTACCATAGGCGTGGATTTTTTAAAAATATTTTTTCAAGGTCGACCATAGGCCTGGATTTCTTAAAAAACTATTTTCAAGGATATTTAGGCTTGGTTTAAAAAATTTTCAGGGATTTTTAAAAATATTTTTTCAAGGATACCTAGGCTTGGTTTAAAAATATTTTTTGTATTAAAAAATACTTTTTTTTCAGGGACTACAGTAGGTGTGGATTTTTTATCTATTTTTTTTTTCAAGGAATTCAGGGACTACAAAATAAGTGTAATTTTTTTTAAATATTTTTTTTCAGGGACTACAAGATTCTTTAATAAAATTTTTTTCAGAGACTTCAATAGACTTGATTTTTTTTAAATACTTTTTTTAGAGACTACAATAGGTTTGGTTTTTTTTTTTTAATTATGTTTTAAAGGACTCCCGACTCTCATTCATGTTGACTACAAAAAAAATTACATACATAAATTGAAAAAATGTATAAAATTAAAAAAATGTCCATAAATTTCATATTACATATATACGTACATATATTTCATAAGGCAATATATAACTTTATTATTTATTTTGTTTTTTTTTTTTCAAATTCTTAAAATAATTTATATAGTTTTATGTTTATTGCATGATTATTCATGTTTTGTTCTATTAAATAAATGTAGATTTTGTTGTTCTTTTGATTTTATATTTTACAATTTTATTTACTTGATGATCTTTATTATTTATTTTTTTTTTTTTTTCATTATAATCTATATAGTATTTAGTGTAGCTAATTATTATTATTTAGATTTTTTGTATCCATTATTCATATAATAATTAATAATATATATATTTATTTAATGTATATATATTTTTTATTTAATGTATATATATATATATTGTGTTTTATTGTAATAAATATTTTTGCTATTGTAAATAATGAAAAATAAATTGAAAACAAATTATGGACAAATTTTATTTATCAATGGGATCCAATAATCATCTCATATTTATAGTACCTTAGTTTTTGGGTTGTCATCAATATTATTTTAGGGGAAATATTTATGTGATCTATTTTTTAAATATTGAATTTTCTAATTTCAAAAATAATAAAATCTACATGTGTTTTTTTTTGTTACTATATCGAATCACATAGAATATTATTATTATTATTTTAACCAATCACATAGTTCACTTTTTTATTTTAAATACTATTTCAAAATACCCTAAGAATTTTTTTGTAGGTTATGTAAATATTTATTTTTTACACTATAAAATTATTTATTTTTTATATGTTTTTTATGACGAATGTAAAAAAAAATATTTTTTTTGGAATAGATGAATGGTCTCAATAAAGACATACCAACAAAATGGAATACAAAGTATGGGGGACTAGTGTTTTTTTTTTTTAATTTTGAAAAAAATGGACAATGACCACAGGCACATTTTAGAGACTTGTTGTGTTCATTGATTTTGTTTTTTGTTCAATATTTAGTTTTGAAAACAGTTACACAGATTACAAACAAAATAAATCAACATTAAATTGTTAAACAAAAAATTAAACTCCCGGTTCAATTGGCTTAAAACGACAATATTAACTATGATTAAGATTTAAAGAAAAAATTAATAACAAACATATATAAAGAGGATAATATTATTTAATTTCTTTGCAATACCAATAATGTATTTCAAATACACACAGGATTGGAATTCACTCTGCTGGTCTATTTGTTTTTATTTTTTTTTATTTGGGGGGGGAAAAAAATAAAATTAAAAACTTTAATTTTACATTCCATTATCGTGGCTAAATATATATGTTTTAGTTTTACTGTGTATATATAAATATATTTAATTTTTGTTATTAGTTTTAGAAACATTATTATTATTTTTATTTTGTATATATTTATATAATTTATTTATTTTATTTTCATTTATTGATTTTTTTTATTTTTGTTTCTATCGTTTTTTTATATTTCGTCTCGTTTCGAATACTTTCTTCCAATGGACTGTTGCTGTTGTTGTAGTGGTTGGTGGTTACGCTGTCGTATTAAACACTATTTTGCATTCGATATATTAAAAACAGGACCAATACGCAAAAATACACGTCTAAGGACACTTCGTAATTCTGGTTTCATGCCGAAACACATCATTTCACATAATAACGTATAATAATTGGAGACATGGGTGGCAAACTGCAAGAAGAAGAAAAAAAGAAAAATAAATACAAATTTAGTTTAAATTCCAATTATTTTTTTTATTATATATTCTTAAGAACTACGGATAAAACTTTGTTTTTTGTTATTTAAAATACTTAAAATATCAATTCCAAACGCCTATTTCCCCTAAAAGACGCTGCAAATATATCGCCTCCTTTGCTGCTTCTGAAGACGCTACGTATTCAGATTCCGTGCTACTAAGAGCTACTGATTTTTGCTTTCTGGATTCCCACGATATAGGATATCCTCCAATTGAAAAATATAAATCCGGTATATGCTTTCCGGTCTACTGGGTTACCACCCCAGTCCGCATTCACGTAACCTTCCAGGTTCCTTTTATTAGGTTCCTTGTTGTTCGATCCAGCCAAGTATCACAGAATATGTTTCAGACCATCCATATATGCCTTTCAAGGGCCTGCATTTTTCTGAGCCAATTTCGACACTGTGTGCAAGATGTCAGGTCTCGTAGACGTTGCTAAATATATATTAGGGCTCCAACGAGTGATTGATACTCGGTTTGATCTACACGTTCGTCATCATCATTACAGTTTACCTTACAACCGGGTTCCAATGGTGCTTGGTGTGTTTTGCAATCTTCCATTCCATATTGTTGTAATAGACCAGTTTGATCATACCCCTTTCTCTTTCGATCTCCATACCCAGGAAGTGGCCTAACCGCCCCTTATCGCTGACATCGAACTCACTTGCCAAATTATTTTTGATCTCTAAAACAACCGATTTGTCTTTACACCCAATAATGTCATATACGTAAACAGCGATCAACACTAGCTTATTTCTCCTCATGCCTTTGTAGAGATAGGGTTCGTTATCACATGGTTTGAAATTCATCTTACGCAATGTGACATCAAGTTTAGAGTTCCACTCTCGTCCGCTTTGTTTCAATCCATAAATAGCCTTATGGAGACGTAGAACTTTGTTCGGCGAACTATTTTCCTCAAAATTCGGTGGTTGCTGCATATATACTTCATAATGGAGATTACTGTTTAAATATGCAGTACTGATATCGATTTGATGTAAAAACATTCCTTCTTTCACACAAGCAGTGCCAATAAAATATCTTCCATTGCCTTTAGCCATTTGTCTCCATTATTACCAGCTATTGCCTGCTCCACCGTATTTGGAATATTTTTGTCAACAGCATGACTTAGCACCTCATTAGGTTGCTTCCGAGGACGACCAGGATTTCCCTTGCGAATAATTTTAGGCCTTCCTGCACCAACTTTCTTCGGCATATCCTGTGCAACAGCTATTTCCTCATCTCTGGACACACTTTTATTTTTAGCTGTTTCGAAACCTTCGAAATCACTTCATCATGGAGATGACTATTCAAATATGCAGTTCTGATATCGATTTCATGTAAAAAACATTCCTTCTTTCACACAGCCAGTGCCAATAAAAAACGAATTGTTGAGTAGCGAGCGACATGTGAATATATCTTATTTAAATCTATTCCGTATCGTTGGTGACAGACTTTGGCTACAAGGCGAGCCTTATGCTTCTCAATTTCGCCCTTTACATTCCTCTTTATGGCATAGACCTACATACATGGAATAGCTTTTTGTCCTCTTGGAAGATCCACCAGCGACGAAGTCTTATTCTTGCAAAGAGCACGATACTCATCTTCTATTGCCTTTAACCATTTGTCCGCGAATAATTTTAGGCCTACCTACACCGACTTTCTTTGACATATCCTGTGCAGCACATATTTCCTCATCTTTAGACTTACTTTCATTTTCAGCTGTTTCAAACCCTTCGAAGTCACTCATATCATCCTCGGAATACTCTGCACTTTGATTTTCTGATCCACAGCGACTATTTCCTCATCTCTGGATTGATCTTCGATGTAAATTATTGTCTGTGACTCATTCATTACCATCGGATTTAATTTAGTCTTGCAGAATATAATCAAAAAGTTTAATACTCGTGGAAGATCCTTCTTCATCAGTTGATTCACTGCATTTACCAAAACCATTCTCATCAAAAAGCACATCCCGACATTCGATGACCTTGTTTTTATCCGTATCATACAAAAGGTACGCCTTCGCTGTCGATAAATATCCAACCATTATATATCGCCTGCCTTTAACATCGAATTTGGATTTATTCCCAGAGTTATTTAAGACACACACGCTCCAAAAATCCTGAAATATTGGACACCTATCTTCAGAAGCAGCAAAGGAGACGATATATTTGCGGCGTCTATTAATAGAAATCGGCGTATGAAATTGTGAATACGTAGTTTTGCATATCGACAACCAAGGAGCATTAATGTTGGCGGAAAACCCTGTTTATCACAAGTGGTCGAAACATATAGACATAAGGTTTCACCACATCCGTGACTTAGTCCAGAATAATGCGATAAAATTAAAATATTGTTCTTCAACAAATAAAAAAAAATATATATATATTTTTTTAAATTCAACGCCTTGTGTGGGTGTGGTTGCTTCAAAAATATTTTTAAAAATCCACGACTTGTGTGGGTGTGTATTTTTAAAATTCCACGACTTGTGTGGGTGTGTATTTTTAAAATTCCACGCCTTGTTTGGTTGGACTTTCAAAAAATCCACGCCTTGCTTAAAAATATTTCAACAAAAAAATAGTTTTTTTATATAATTTTCTTCCTGAACTTACCCTATCATCAGCCATCTTAAGTAATCTCGTTAAAATCAGTAGCAGCAACGATGTCCAGGCATCACGATGCTGTTCACTTTGTAAACTTAAATAGTAGGTCAATGCCTCCTTGCACACCTGCACCAATTCCTGTTCAATACCAGGCCAATCACTACGTCTATTCTCATCACCGTACATTTTGAAGAAGATGCGCAGCACACAAGCCAACGAAGCGGTTTCTTGTTTCAACAAATTGGGTTTTATTGAACCCTTAAAACCGGCACGCCACAACACATTACGCTGCTCCTGATCGGCATTGAAACGTTTCGCAAAACGATGCGATTGCATTAGGCAATCGGCCAGGGTGAGCAGTTGACGCGTGCGCAAATAACTATACATCCCCTGCTCTTCACGCTGGCAATCCAATATCGCCTGTGTGGGACAGTTGCCGGTTAAATCAGCGGCGGCCTGCGCCAATGTCTCGGCATCTTCTTTGCGTGAGGTGGCCGGGAAGAAAATGATATTATCTACAGTTTGTATCAGCTCCAGCTGTACCACACATTTAATATTGAGACTTTCGAATAGAGCGGGATTTTGTGGGACCACGGGGGTTTGAATTTGGGTGTTCGAGTGATGGCTATCCTCATCGAAACTGCCCGTGTGGCTATAAACGGAATGTTGGGAATATGAACGATTGAGGCCATCGACGCTGTTGCGTGATTGGGAATTTTTACGTGATGGGTTGGAGTTTTGTATTTGGTGTTGGTGTTGCTGATGCTGTTGTTGCTGCTGCAGCTGCTGATGTTGCATTTGTATTTGCATTTGCTGTTGCTGCTGGGGATTTGGCCGCCAGGTAAGCAATTCTCCCGGTAAGGTGGCATTGAAAATGTCCAATATACATTGACAGGTTTTATCCCAGGTGGCTTCATTGAATTTGAACCCGTTGGAAATAACTAGATTTTCCAAACAGTTTGTACCCGATCTGGCCAGCTGTTCATTATTCTGTTGAACACACCAATGGAGTTGGGCAAACAAATCCTCCAATAGCAAATGCCCCAATACATCAAAATACTGGGTAAAAACATCGATAATGGCATATAGGGCATGATTGCAGGTCGTCGTCATCCATTCGGATTTTTCGGTAACATGTTCAGGTAACTTCATATTGTCGAAAATGCGGAAGATCACATTAAATAAATCTTTCCACCAATTGGGTTTGAAGCTATCACCATGGGTCTTGACAATTTCAAAGAGCACTGTGAGACCTCTCGTCCTTACATCCAATTTACAACGATTTACCACACATGACAGGGAGAAGAGCATGGGGAACCAGCCGCGTACCCATACCCGATCCTCTTCCGCCACCGAAATATCATTTTCCATGCCGGCATGTTCGGCAAAGAGCTGAGGTGATTCGTGGACACACAAAGCACAGGTTCGCACCAAACGTATTGCCTCCATACTGGTGTCCGGAAACCGGGCATTACAGGCAAACTCGGATAGACACTTGACGGCATCTTGGAACGAATCGACCATTATGGCGAATTGCTTTTGATATAATTCTCCGATGATTTTCCCCGTGGTTTGAAATGCCAACTCAACAATGGCCTCTTCATGATCCCCCGCCGCCAAATGGAAAATTGAAAAGATATTTTTCCAACCCGATTTGATATTGCGGGCCTGAGAGTTAACCATTTGGGCTATACAGCGCACCACCATATCCCTAATGGCCGGTGATTGATTCTTTTTCATGATGTGCTCAAACGGCCTTAGGAAATCCTTTTGGAAACGGAAATTGGCAAATTCGCCCTTTTCCATAAATTTCATCGATAGCTGACGCAGTGAATCCAAAGCGAAAAATGATATTTCCTCATTCATGTTACAGCCGACCGTATTGAAATGTTCACCCAACACCTGCCATATGCGGGACCATTGCAAACGGATACGTTCCATGTTGTAATAGGAGATTTCAACGATTTTCTGCAAGGAGAACATGCGGGGCTGGGGGTTTTGCAGCTCTTCAACGGAGACCTGCAAAAAAGGAGATTTTAAAAAATTGTCATTTGAAAAAAAAAAATAAAATTCATTTCCTCACCTGACACAAGGCCTTGACAAAATCCACAATAGCATCACCATCCAGCCGTATGGACCCAGTAAAAATACGATCCACAGCCACCACCACACTTTGACTACTCGTCTGGCCAATGTGTTCCTTGACACTAGGATTCAAAGTATCCTTGAGGGTGGTTTGGGCGCCCGACAAAAATTTCGGCCTCACCCCTGTACCAATTAGCTGGGCCAATTCCAATTGACTGATACACTTGACAATGTCCAACCAACTCGAACCCAAATAGTTACCATCTGTATGAGCTACCATAATCAACGTTTTAATAGTATCGATATTTTTCGCCTTCATTTCATTAATTGGTGAATTTGCCGTCAATAACGTAAATCTGGCCAAGGCCTGCACATAAGCATCACGCTCCAAGGTCATATGGAAGATACAGGCAATGCGTATGGCACAGCGTATACCATCCAAACACAAGCAGGCAATCTCTGGGTCATCACAATCCTGCAAACCCACCGAGAAGGCAGCCAAAAATGGTGTCCATGCCATCTTGAACATTGGCCTTACATGTTCCAAATGCTTGGCCGACGTGAAGGGGGATTTGACATGCGACACCGATTCCATGAGATTTTTCGCCGTTGTGGATATTGCCTCCATTTCCATATTCCACAATAATTTACGCCGCTTCTCATTGGCAATGATCTGCTTTCCGGGTTTATTTACCACTGTGTTCTTCATTTTAATTTCATGCCCAGCAATTTCATCATAGATCGAAGATAGATATTCCACGGGTAAGTCATCACGACTGTCGCTAATACCCTGATTCAATTTGATATACTGTTCCTTGGTCATTTTATTCTTCACCTGAGGCGAATGCAGATCCGTGGTCAACATGATAATGGAAAAGGCCAAAACATAAACCGTATCCGCAGATTGGAACAGCGGATTATTGGGATTACATTCACAATAACGACTGGCAAATTTCTCCATCAGACGATCGATTTTTTGTGCCTCCCCGGGCAAACGGAATTCCTCCAACAGCATACGTAATGCTGCCACCACCTCCAGCGATGTGAAATCAAATGCATCGATATATTCACACATTACCTCCTTGGAATGATCATCATTCTCGCCAATATAATTACCCAAAGCGGTCTTATCCAAACGATCATCTTCATGTAACCACTTGGCAATGTCTTTGGGTGTTGCTCCCACCAATTGCTTCTCCTGCAAAAATTGTATACCCTTCTTCGGTTTGCGATTGAACAACTCAATACCCTGTTCCATAACTTCTTTACGCATTTTCCTTTCCTCCAAGGCTTCGGGTAAATCCAGGACCTCCGTATTTTTAACACTGCCATAGGAATTTAAACTATGGCTCGATCCGCCATGCATGGAACGTATACCCAAGGCATTCGTGTGCGATACTGCATCAGCATTATCCCCCGTGGGAGATTGCAAATCCACCGAATGCCCTGATCTATTATGACCCGCCGTAGCCGCAGTACCCTCATGGGCATTTAATGAAGGCATATTCGGATTGACATACAAATCTTGACTCCACTCGACCATACATTTCAATATCGACACCAAACATTCCAGGCCACGTATACGCATTGATTTCTCCTCCATGGGATTAGCACCCAATTCCAAAGCCTGACGGCCCTGAGCAATTTTGGACAAATCATTGACAAGGCGTTCGAATAAATTCGCCGCCTGAAAATCACAATCGTAATTCACATAGATATCCACAACAGATTGAGCATCGGCACATATTCTCGTCAGAGCCTGTATCACCATCCATTTGTGTTCGAACGAACTTGAGGTGGCCTCCAAAATATTCAAAAAGATCTCCTTAAAGAATACCTCAATTTGCTTCTTCAAATGTATTTTGAAATTCGACAGGAGGGCAACAAAAATCGACAGCGACAATTCGAATACCTCCGGCACCAAACTAACACCATTTTTCGACAAGGCCACACACAAATATTGTTTAATGGCCATAATGAACATTTCATTGGAACGGAAAACGGGACCAGCATTTTGTAGAATAGACAACAACAGACGTAACGATAACACCTTTGATCTTAGCTCATGGGACTTTGGATCTGGGTGTCCCTCCGGCAATGGTTTCATGGAGAGTTTACACAATGCCCGAAATACCAAAAAGGCATCTTTTTGTAGGACATGGGTAAACTTGGCTGTAACCACAGCATCATTTTCACTATGTACCTCAACACTTTCTTCTGAATTATGGGTGTGATTATTGGTGTTGGTACCTTCGGAACCAGTAATCGAAATGTTATTGTTACTGGTATTATTAGTATTTCCACTGATATTATTAGCTGTCGCATGGTCTTCTTCCGCCGTTGAGGTTGTGTCATCAAGGGCACCGGTTTCTTTTAGAACTTCGACAATGGCAGCTGGAATGGGAAAAGGAGAAAATAGAGATTTATATATTTATTTTTAGAAGACATCAAAAATGTGTATTAAAGAAATCGACCCTGAAAAATGTGCTTTAAAAAATTCGACCTCAAGTAGACCCTGAAAAAAAACTCTCAAAACAAGCCACTCCTAAAAGAAACTGAAAAGACATTCTTTAAAAAATGTTACCCCTGAAAAAATAAATTATTTTAAAAACCCCAACCCTAATTGACCATGAAAAAATATTTTTAAAAAATCCAAACCCTAGGCCAAAGGTCGACCCTGAAAAAATAAAATTAATATTCAGGTCTATGGGGGACGCTAACATATATTATTTAAAAAATCTAGGCCAATGACCCTGAAAAAATATCGTTTAAAAACCTAGGCCAAAGACCCTGAAAAAATATCGTTTAAAAACCTAGGTCAAATGTGGACACTGAAAAAATTCTTTTGAAGATCTAGGCTAAAGGTGGACCTAAAAAAATATTACCCTGAAAAATATCGTTTAAAACCCTTGGCCAAAGGTGGACCCTGAAAAAATATTCTTTAAAAAAGGTAGACTCAGTACAAATCCTCGCCTATGATAGGCCTTGAAAAATATTCTTTAAAAGATCCACGCCTATGATAGGCCTTGAAAAATATTCTTTAAAAGATCCACGCCTATGATAGGCCTTGAAAAATATTCTTTAAAAGATCCACGCCTATGATAGGCCTTGAAAAATATTCTTTAAAAGATCCACGCCTATGATAGGCCTTGAAAAATATTCTTTAAAAGATCCACGCCTATGATAGGCCTTGAAAAATATTCTTTAAAAGATCCACGCCTATGATAGGCCTTGAAAAATATTCTTTAAAAGATCCACGCCTATGATAGGCCTTGAAAAATATTCTTTAAAAGATCCACGCCTATGATAGGCCTTGAAAAATATTCTTTAAAAGATCCACGCCTATGATAGGCCTTGAAAAATATTCTTTAAAAGATCCACGCCTATGATAGGCCTTGAAAAATATTCTTTAAAAGATCCACGCCTATGATAGGCCTTGAAAAATATTCTTTAAAAGATCCACGCCTATGATAGGCCTTGAAAAATATTTTTTAAAAGATCCACGCCTATGATATGTCTTGAAAAATATTCTTTAAAACATCCACGCCTATGATAGGCCTTGAAAAATAGTCTTTAAAAGATCCACGCCTATGATAGGTCTTGAAAAATATTCTTTAAAAGATCCACGCCTATGATAGACCTTGAAAAATATTCTATAAAAGATCCATGCCTATGATAGGCCTTGAAAAATATTCTTTAAAAGATCCACGCCTATGATAGGCCTTGCAAAATATTCTTTAAAAGATCCACGCCTATGATAGGCCTTGAAAAATATTCTTTAAAAGATCCACTCCTATGATAGGCCTTGAAAAGTATTCTTTAAAAGATCCACGCCTCTGGCAGGCCTTTAAAACTAATATTTAAGAAATCCACGCCTCTGGCAGGTCTTTAAAACTAATCTTTAAAAAATTCACGCTTCTGGTAGACCTTGATTTTTTTTAAGAATACACGCCTATGACAGCCTTTAAAAAATATTATTCAAAATTTTTACGCCTAATGATGGATGGAGCGACTGTTATCATATTCCGGCAATCGGATATTTTTCAACCTAACCTTATTTTCTTTGGTGTTCGGACTAATTACCTTAAAAATATACAAAATTCAAATATTAGATTTACATCTAGCCACCCATGATCTCTACTCACCACTCAATATCTCATCCACCACAGCTGCGGCCACAGTTTCCGGTGTCTCCTCAACATCAGTGCCACCACCACCTCCCACACTACTCTTCACACTGCAACTGGCCTCAGAGGCTTGCGATGTATTCGCATCATGATGACCATTATTGGCCTGTGAAGCTGCCAAAGCCGCCTGGGCTGCAACTTCATACACCTGATTTTCCATACGTGAAAAGATGACATCCAACATTTGGGTCAGGGTGGCACATGCTGTTGTTTGATTAACCAAATTTTTACTCGACAAATAGATGTCATAACAGGTGCGTACCGCCTGCAGCACCGTTCCTTCGTGTATCTCAACATGTTGTGATGTGACCACCGTCAGGAGGGCTTTGATTATCTGCAACTGGACACATTCATCCGTTTGCGGTCCATTGAAACACCCACATATGGTATTGACAATACGATCGATAAGCAAATGGCCCGGATTCGATGAATCCTGTATGGCACCCGTCAAATGGCCATATGCTATGAGTTTTTCCAAACAATCTAAGGCCGTGACCACAATGCGCGGTGAACGACTCTTACAGGCCAATTCAAATGGCAGAAAATATGTCTCCGCATTTATTATGCTGGCTGCATCATTTTTCGGCAACGGCAGTGCAGCACAGGGGAGCTCATTACCTTCGGCTATTTGACCAGCACTGATCAGTTCGGCCTTTATCTGTTCCAAGGCTGTGTCGCATGATTTTTTCAATTGGGAATTTTGGGAACGTTTGATATCCTTGTCGGCAAGGATTTTCTCTAGAGCACGCACTATAAACATTTCTTTAGTTTTCGTAGAGAAACTTTGCATTCTGCATCAAGGTCTTTACATGGGTAATGAAATTTCAATTCAATATGATGATGAAAAAAAAAACAAAAAAGTGCTGCCGATTTTACTATTGAATTGTGATTGCCAGTTAGTTTGATGTGTCAATAAGAGGTGGCTGCTTGGCCCACCATGCACACACCAACACACACACACACTCGAATTCAAGCACTCAGCAATTTCCACAATCGACGGAACAAAATTGTAAACCACAACACTACGTTTTTTTCTTTCCTTTTGATTTCCTCTTTTGTGTGTGTTTTCTTCTAACTACTCCAAATTCACTGCAATATCCTCCATTTTGTAATGAATTTTATTTTCGGTTTTTTCTTTTGTAAAATTTAGTAAAAATATATTCGCGTTTGCCTTCTTTTAATTAGTAAGAAGAAAAAATCAGCAGCAGCAATAGTTGAGAAGAAAAAAATTATCACGATATTGACACATACGACGAGAGCGAGAAGAAAAAAACGTCATCAATAAATGTCAAAAGTTTCTCTAGTGGTGGGACGACAAAACGATAACAAGAAAGAAAATAACAACAGAAGGCAACAAACACCTGTCAATGGAATAATGGGTGTGTTTTTTTCTGTTGGGGAGCGATTTGTACAACATTCAAGGAATTGAGGGTAACATAAATCAGCTGTTTGAGGGTTTTGTTGTTGTATTGGCAACATATGCAATTACAGTGGGACACTAACAAGAGCGCTCTCTTTTGATTTGTCGTCTCTTATGTTGTTCACTCCGCTACTCTCTCATCCACAATGACATTTTAGTTTTGATGGGACTCTGATTTAATAATAAATGGTATTAATAGAGCTGTCACTCACTCTCTCTTTCTCTATCTCCTCTCTTGTGTTATGCCGTAGTACATGTTCAATAGTTGGCAACTCCGTTAACAAATGCCACACAGGCACTGGAATTTGCCATTTGACACTCTATAATAAGAAAATAATTTATAATTGTATTTTCTGTTAAAAATAGGGAAATTAAATGAAATATAAATATAAATTATAATATATAAGAATTAAAATATATTAATAATTTAAATATATAAAAAATAGAATAAAATAATAAATAAAATTCGGAAATTAATTACAAAATGCCACAAGCAAACTTTTTACAAAAAATGGTAAATTTTTATAAAAAAATTACGACTTAGCCCCTGAAAAAACATTATAAAAATTCAATCCAATTTTTAATTGAAAAGTTATTTGACATTTGAGATCGAGTGGATTTAGTAGTCTAAACGTGCTTTTAGTTTCTGACAAAATAGTAGAAATAGTCCACCTCTAAGGTAAACAAATTTATTATGAAATTGTCCACAGCTAAGATTAAAAAATTGGTACAAAAATAATTCACTCCTATATTTTGCCACAAATTTTATTTAATCCCTGAAGATCGCCTTTTGAAAGAAAATATTTTTTAAAAAAATCAACGTTTTGTATTAGTCTTTGAAAATATAAAATCTACGCCTTGGTCTTTGAAAAAAATGTTTTTGTGAATTTATTACCGGAAAAAAGAGTTTGAAAAATTAATCTACGCATATTTTTAACCCTAGGCGTAGACTATGTTGTACCAAAATGTTTAACCCAAAATTGTAGGCGTGGATTATTTTTGTACCAAAATGTTTAACCCAAAATTGTAGGCGTGGATTATTTTTGTACCAAAATGTTTAACCCAAAATTGTAGGCGTGGATTATCCCAAATTTTGAACCTCAGGTTGACAAATTTTTACCCTCAGATGTGAACTATTTCGTACAATATTTATGACATAACTGTTATTTTTATAACAAATTTTTAACCTTAGATGTGGACTATTTTTATACAAAATTTATGGATTTTTATATAAAAAATTTTGACTATTTTTATATCAAAAAATCAACAATTTCTCGGTAAATAGCAAATAAAATATAAATAAATATATTAGTCCGTCAAAAATTATTAATCCTTCATGAAACCAACGCATTTGAATTTGTTTACTCGGCGCCGTTGTAAGAAATGTGTTTGACAGCCAGTATGAACTAGTTCCGATTCATTCATTGGGATTGGTTCACCTTATTTAACAAATAACAATTACAAAGCGAGAATTAACAGATTTCGAAGAATCTACAATTTAAGACACTAAATTAAATAAATATCAAATAAAATATAAATAAAAAATCTGTACGCCTTCAATTATTATTATACCTTCATGAAAACAATGCCTTTGATTTTTTTAACGGCGCCGTTGTGAGAAATTACTTTGACAGCCAGTATGAAAAAGTTCCGATTCATTCAATGGGATTGGTTCATATTATTTATGAAAATAACAACAACTGCAAGGCGGGAATTATTAAACAGATTTCAAAGGATTTTAATTTAATATATAGATTTAAATATATATTTTCTTCCCAAAAATGTCCCACGCCAGAAAACCCCAGTTGGAGACTGCGGAAAAAGTTGAAGAGAATTTTGTTAAATATCAAAACTATGGAGAAAATGCGCGTCAAGAATATGAAAAACTATATACGGAAATGTGGAATGGCCTTAAGGATGAACACCTTGAACCCATTGCCAAGATACTAATGGAAAGGGATAAAATCGTTTTGAAACATCGTGAACAAATTGTACAAAGTGTTCGAAATAATTTGCAAAAACAAATGATTAATACTTTGAATAATTTTTGGCAAAATGCTGGTGTATCGGAGGCGTTGATTTCCCTGGAAATGTGTAAAGAGAAATTTAAATCGTACGAGGGTTGTAAATGGTAAATAGTAGAATATATTTTAATTTATTATTTCAAAAATGTATCTAATATTTTTTCTCTCTTTTCCAGGAATATGGATTCCAAAACCCCCTCGGAACGTACCCTACCCATTCGTATGCAATTCAAGGAGAAACGTTTACGTTATCTGCAGGCCCAGTTGAAATATCAAGAAACTCAATTGCAGCAGGTGATGCAAGAAAATAAGTCGCTGCGTCAACAACTGCACGAGGTGAAACAACAGCGCGTATATTTGCTGGAACTTATCGGGGAATATCGCAAAAAATTTGCCGTGACTCAACCGGAAATATTGCGTTTACAAATGGAATTGTTGGGTGAGCCGTTGCCGCTGGATGATGGTGATGGCAATGAAGAGAATATTGAACCGAATAGAATGAATGAATAAAATTATAAAAAAAAAATGTTCGAAATTTTAATTGTGTGTTGTTGTAATCATCTTTAAAACATAAAATATATTTATTCTTTAGGCGAAGTCTATTTTATACCAAATTTTTTAACCCTAGGCGTGGTCTATTTTATACCAAATTTTTTAACCCTAGGCGTGGTCTATTTTATACCAAATTTTTTAACCCTAGACGTGGTCTATTTTATACCAAATTTTTTAACCATAGGCGTGCTCTATTTTATACCCAATTTTTTAACCATAGGCGTGCTCTATTTTATACCAATTTTTTTAACCCTAGGCGTGGTCTATTTTATAGAATTTTTTTTAGCCCTAGGCGTGGTCTATTTTATAGCAATTTTTTAGCCATATGCGTGGTCTATTTTATAGCAATTTTTTTAGCCCTAGGCGTGGTCTATTTTATAGCAATTTTTTTAGCCCTAGGCGTGGTCTATTTTATAGCAATTTTTTTAGCCCTAGGCGTGGTCTATTTTATAGCAATTTTTTTAGCCCTAGGCGTGGTCTATTTTATAGCAATTTTTTTAGCCCTACTAGGCGTGGTCTATTTTATAGCAATTTTTTTAGCCCTAGGCGTGGTCTATTTTATAGCAATTTTTTTAGCCCTAGGCGTGGTCTATTTTATAGCAATTTTTTTAGCCCTAGGCGTGGTCTATTTTATAGCAATTTTTTTAGCCCTAGGCGTGGTCTATTTTATAGCAATTTTTAACACTAGGCGTAAAATCAGTTTATTAAAAAATAATTTAAAATTTATTTCAATTTTGTTTAACAAAAACGCAGTTCCTCTGCGTAACTTAAAAAAAAAAAAAACAAAATTCAATTCAAAATATTATTACAAATTCTATAAATCTAAAATTATGGACTTCAAACTACCCTGTAGGTCTAGAAAAATCCCTCATCAATATCATCAGCAATCGATTTACTATCGAACATGGCACCCCATTTGGCTGCCTCGCCACCTCGGACCTTGACATTATAGCAAACATTTTCGGCCTTCAGGACACTCTGGCGCATAGTGTAGATCTTGCGTGATAGCTCACGGCAACGATGGACATTTAAACTAATGTAACTGCATGTAAACAAATAAATTTATACCTTCAATAGCATTTCGAATATTTTCCCAAAACCCGATCCCAACTTACCCAGTAAAAAACTTTTGCAATGCCTTACAGCAGGCCATGGTGGTGTCGGTTTCACCACTACACAAGGAATTAATGCAACGGCGCATAAGTTCACCGGTAAGATCCGATACACCCAAAATATATTCATTGGGATCCACAAAGAACATGGTTGAAGCCTTGCTGCTGGTAGTGATTTCCTCCTCATCCTTAACTTCTTTTTCTTCAGAGGCAGGATATGTCATTTTCTTTTGCAAGGCATTCCAATCGCTCATTTCTCCACCCTCATCTCCTCCTGCACCCTCACTATCATTTTCCACATACTTAATGTATTCCATAAAGGTATAGGCCTCAATGAATTCCTGCAGCCCTGGAGAATATGCACCACGAAATTGATATGGATCATGGCCATGTAATTCCTCGGCAATGGCTTTAAAATTGCAGGCAATCACCTTTTCCAAACGTGTTCGAGCCTCTTCCAACACCTTTTGTTTATTATTCTTCCTCACATCTATGGAATGCAGGAGAAAAATAATCCTCTTCGATTCAATGGTAATGTCACGACTCATCTTGACGATACGTTCATAGCGATCATGTTTGGCATCCAATTCAATGGCATACGATTGGAATGCTTTCAGTACGGGATTATTTTCATCGATGATGATGGGTCGTTGGTCCTTTTTGTGGTTGTTGTAATTATTTTTCTTATACTGTTGGCGGCCAGTGTGTCCCGGCATTTTTGAGGTGCTATACTTTTTGCGGTACTTAATTGGGGGTCTTGCGGTCAATTATTGATGGGGAATCCAAACAAAACAAATCATGAAGAGATGACAAATCAGCGATGTTATGTTGTTATCGATAATTTGTCAATGGACTGTGATTCAATTATTACTTTGGAACAAAATGGAATGGAACAAGTGGGCTATTTCATTGGATTTTTAAAAAAAGATTTTTCAAGGAATCCTTAACCGCAATGTGCTTAGGTTTTTAAATCATAGGCGTGGAGTATTTTACGCCATTTTTTAAACCTAGGGTTAAAAAAATTAGTTATATTTTACCAATTGTTTAACCCCAGGCGTGGACTACTTTATATCAATTTTTTTAACCCTAGGCTTGGACTATTTTGTATAAATTTTTTAACAACGGAGGATGCCGGTAGAATTCAAACGAATTTTCCTAGGATCCACAGCTTCATAGAAGCGAATTATTCAAACAATTGTTTTCAAAGGTTCCGCAGGCTCAGTAGGCCTGGATTTTTAAAAAATAATGTTTCAGGGTTCTGCAACTTCATAGACGTGGACTTTAAATCGATTTTACGAAGTTTCTGCAACTTCATAGACGTGGACGTTAAATTGATCTTTTTAAAGGTGGATTATTAAAGCCGAAGTTTTCAAGGTTCCGCAGCCTCAAGAGGTGTGGATTTTCTCCATTATTCCGTAGCCTCTATAGGCGTGGATTGCTACAGACAGATTTTTCCAAGGTTCCGCAGCCTCAATAGACCTGGATTTTTTTAAATATTATTTTCCAAGGTTCCACAGACTCAATAGACGTGAATTTTTTAAATATTATTTTTACAAGAATACCTATTGGCCTTCAGGAAGAACTCCTGGCTTTCTATAGGAAGACATTCTCGCCTTCAATAAGAATGCTTTTGGTCTTCAATAAAAAGGCCTTCTGGTTTTCTATAAGTAGATCTTCTGGCCGTCTATAGGAAAACATTCTCGCCTTCAATAAAAGGACCTTCTTGCCTTCAATAAGAAAACCTTCTGGCAAGAAGAAGACCTTCTATAATAAAATTTTCTGGCTTTCTATACTTTCGGCCTTGTACAAGAAGACCTGGAGGTCCTTGATGTCTTTTTTTTATAAAAAAGGTCTTTTGGGCATCTTTATAGGAAGACCATGAGATCTTCTTTGAGAACCCCGTCTGGTATTTTTATAAGGAGAACTTCTGGCCTTCTAAAAAAATCTTCTGGCCCTTTAAAAAAAAACCTTCTGGCCCTCTAAAAAAGACCTTCTGGCCTTTTATAAAAATACTTTCTGGCCTTCTATAAGAAAACTTTCTATGAGAACTTCTTCTGCACTTCAATAAGAAAAACATCAGGCCTTCTCTAAGAAGAACTTATGGCATTCCAAAAATAGTCCTATTGTTCTTTTATATAAAAATACATACTGGTCTTCTACAAAAGTTCATTTACAATGAAAGGACGATTTTAGAATATTCGGGAAAAGACCGAAGTTAATTTCATCAACAGAACAGCTGTTATTTTTTTTTCGATAACCAAGTCTAAATGACCCTCAGTGGATTAATTTTGCTAACCGATTTTTGCTTATTGGTAAACAAACCTCCGTTTATAGGACAGTATCCGCAAAAAAAGAAAATATGGGTGAATCGAGTACACAGGCAGCCCCAAGGCCCTCCTGTGAATATGGACAGGAATGTTACAGGTAATACAGTGAATACAAAGTGAAGTATGGAACATCAAAAATAGATCCTCTAATTAGTAAAAGATACAAAACAGATATTCTGCGGGACACTGTTGGGAATTACTTTCACAATGAGAAAGGAGAATTGTCCCTAAATTCGGGGAAGGTAGCTTGAGTGTGAACATTAAACATCATAACAAAAGTTCTGCTATATCGGGTCACTGCTAGGAATTTCATCACAATGAGAAAGGAGAATTGCCTCCAAATTCGGAGAAGGTAGCGAATACTTGCGTGTGACCATTAAGCATCATCGGTCCATAGCAAACCAAATTCCGATACACTTTAAGCGATATCTTTTGCCGGAATATCCAAAGTACGAAATAGATCTAATACCGAACTCTATAAAACTACCTCCAAGGTGTATCTTGAAATTGTTTATTAGGATATCTATGTTAGTCAGTTGAAGTGGTACCTTGTGGTCCAAGACCATCATCCGAACCATCCAATTTTAAGTTGGCCAGTTGAAGAGATACCTTGTGGCCATATTTCACCGTAATCCATAAACCAATAGAGATAGATGTTTAAACATAGCATTATTTTGAATGACTTTTTGAAGGGAGTTACTTAGTCCTCCAAGAACCCTCAAATACCCCATCTATTGTTCCGGATTTTTCTCATTATGTTCTCTTATAATTTCAGAACAAATCCCAATCATCGTGTGGAAAAGGCCCATCCCGGTGATGCCGATTATCAAGTGCCACGAATGCCCTCACCCGTAGAGGGTGCCCCAAAATGTAAATATGGTCGTCGATGTTATAGAAAAAATGCCGAACATTTTCGTAACTTTAGACATCCGCGACCAGTTGGTAAGTTCTGGAAAAATTAATGAATTACATTTTTTTCTAGCCAGGACAAGCGATCAATATATGGATGATGATGAGGAAGAAGAAAGTGAAGTTGATCCATTTGATGATTCAAGTGGTTCGGATTATGTACCAAGTGAAGAGTATGATTAGAGATGTATGCCTGTATATTTAGGTTTTAAGTTTATTATTTATAAAAAAATTATAGAAGTAGGATATAACTGTAAAAAGAGACTTAAAACTAATAGCTGCCCAGGGTTGCATTTGAAGATATTCCCGATTTTTTTGAAACCAAAATAAAAAACAAAATCGTTAATAAATTCGATTTTAAAATGAAATTTCAAGTACCCATACCATTGAACTGGATGTGTTATTTTAAGCTTGAGAGAATACTTTCTGTCCTATAAGAAAACATTCTGGCCTTCTATGAGAACTTCTGTCTTTCTATAAGAATACATTCTGAACTTCTATAAGAATACCTTCTGGCCTTCCTTAAAAATTATGTCTGGCCTTCTGAATTTCTATAAAAATACCTTTTGATCTCTATAAAAATTGTCTTTAAAAAATCCACACCGCAGGCCTTGATGATCTATAAAAAAAATTCATTAAAAAATCCACCCTCAGGCCTTTTTTATTTCTGTTTATTTAAATTTTCGGTCCTTAAATTTTATATTCAAACTAAAAAAACAACAACAATAAAAAAATATATTTTATTCTTATCCCCTCCTCTCCTTGTTTCATTTTATCCACTGCCATTTGGTCAAATCATTACCACCCGCCTTTTTAATCGCCTCATAAATATTCAAACTCTCACCGGGCGGAATATCATAACCCATTTTCAAACCATGTGGATTTGAGGGTGTCACACAATCCATCGAACATTCTTTACGCAATGCCGTATCCACTTCGACGGATGAGAAAAATGCCACCGACATGGGAAGATCCTGCAGGCCCAAACGTGAGGAACAAAATGCCCGTGTCAATAAATTTGTGATATGCATTGTCAGGGCCGCTTGATAGGCACATTTCTCTTCCACCAAATAACGACATTCATCATGGAAGCTAAGGCAAAATCGGGCCTTATCGCCTAATAACCATCTCATCGAAACCAACATCAGATGTAAAAAATCCACCGCCCCACTTTGAACCACCCAATTGATGCGGGTGGGTAGAAAACGATTTTCATCGGAGGTACTGGTGCCCGAGGTCTCTAAGGCACGACTTAGACGTCCACCCAAAAATGGGGTTATGGGTTCCTCGCCACTGGCAATCTCTTCCAAACGATTGAACATGGCACTCTCGGTACCACCCTCCCAGCGGGCCTTTTCAAACATTTCATCGACGGCTCGATTATTGGAGGAGGCCAATTTCAAAGCATCATAACCGGTATATCTAAGAAATAAATAAAAACTCTTTTAATTTCTTCCCTAAAAAAATCGCTTAGTATGACCCTTACCTGCGATTGTCAAACTCCTCCTGAAACTCTTTTTTCAAACGATACGACTTTTTGCCTTTGGTAATGCTAAACATTTTCATGGCCTTAGAACGGGCCTCTGTAGCCGAAAAGGTGGGATTAAATTGCTTTAATAATCCTTCCGCAAAATTTTGCCCTGCACCATAAATCCGCGCATAATTAATGACCTTGGCATGATCTCTTGAAATACCCACAGCCTTGGCAGTTATGGAATGCATATCACTGCCCTTGGACTTGGTACCACTAAGGGTCATCCAACCCAAAGGGGTGGCACCATGTATACCATAGGCATAGGCATCACCCAGCACCGAGGCAATCCACAATTCCTGGGAATCCACATCGGCACCCACAATTTTGTAATTTGGTGGAGCCTGGACCATGGCCCTTAGCTCTGAGCCAATGCGTTCCGCCTGGGAATTTGAGGCTGTCATCCAGGTGGGCTCCATAGCACGTCTCGTGAGGGTGCCACAGGTTACCACCTGGGGACAAATAGCTCCAAATTCATAATTTTGATTTTTCAAACTGCTCGGCATCTCCTCTGGGCTTAGCCACACCACCAATTGACCAATAATACGATCCCGATTATTTCTCCAGTACGACATCATGCGTGCTATTTTAATAATACGTCCCGCCACACTGCTCTCACCACTCTCAGCACTGGTTAGGACATTTTCGGAAAATTTATTAAGGAAATCTCGGGACAAAGGGTTGCCCACCCTCAGGCTTTTGCCATTTTTGTGCGGCAGTTTCAGAAAGAAGCAACAATTATCCAATATTTGATTACACCACACACCGGAACCCTTGTATATACCCTCTGTATGATTTTTCTTTGGCGATTTGCTGTAGAATTCCCGCTTTCCCAACTTCGCATCCAATTCTCGGTTGAGATTAGCAAAGGCATATTCACTTTCCTCTTCGGAGGCATAATGGCGGGCAAAATCGGGTATGGGACACATCTTGGCAAGCTGTTCAATTGGTACCCTGACTTTTTGATCTTGCGACTCTCCCTCATTTTGTTCTGGATGCTGTGTGGTAAAGGGTACCAAAAATCCCCAACCATGTTCCCGGGTATAATGCAGGGGATAACCTTCCCAGCATAGAGATAACAATTTTGGAGCGATTTGCATTCCGGTACTGATTTCAGTTGGCCCTGGCCGCCAATCGTCATCATCATCCCCCTCTAGGGGAGGTTTTGTACACAATTTACGATACCAGGCAGGATAACCGGGTAGTAAAGGCCTTCGGCTTGGCAGCTGAGATTTCATATCATATAAATATTGGAATTTTCGATACAGCCGCTTTTCCTCCTCCGTCAAGTTTGTATCGAGGATGGGATCCTCATTTTGCATTTTCTCCTTTTGTTTCTTGGTGGCTGGCTTTTTCATTTTAAATTCCTGCGTTGACCAATCCTCATCCCACAGCCATAAATTCTTTTTATACTGCTGCCGCTCCATTAGGCTACAGGCCTCATCCGCTCGACTGGCCAAATGATATTTAGCTTCGATACTTAGATCCTCATAGGCCAAATCCGACTCATTAATATAACGTAACCAATTTTTATTGACCGGTAAATATGCGGAACCCATTTCAAGCATACCCGCCAAGGTGACAGGATGTGGAAAACGCTCCTCAAATAAGGGATACAATTTTTGTAAAATACGATGGGTAGCTGCCACATCATTCGAACAATAGGACATCAAAGCTTGGAAATCCTCGCGTACATCCTGCAGGGTACCCTCCACGAACACATTACGTTCTTCTTTATTTATGGCCTCACCACCACAATATAAACGATGAACCTCAGCCAGGCTATTCAGCGAACTTTGACTCAGCCATTCCAAATCCTCGGGGGCGGGTTCTTTTTTCGATTTCATCAAAGCCCTTTGATAGCTGGTCACACCACTGACACACACATGCAAAGACATGGTATCCAAAAATCTTACTTTGGTGTCTTCTAAGAGATACTGTTCCCTTAATCGTGCCCTATCATATGACACGTTATGGCCCACCACAATTTTTGGCCCTTGACGACCCAAGGGTATCAATTCTTCGGTGGTGTGATGGGGTATTTTTTGCCTGACATTCATCTGGGTTTCTTGGGCCGCCAAACGTGGACTTACCCAAGAATACCAATGTTTGGCACTAACCGCAGTGGCCAAAGTGGGCATGGGTCCTTCGGACATACAGACTTCCACATCGAAAACTAAACCATCTTCTAGGGGGTGTTCTATGGAACGTGCATCGCCTGTACCAGGGTCATATATTGTCCATCCCTCCTGTAATGACCATTTTTCGGGTTTTCTTGGTAGTGTTGGTATGGAGAGGAGAGGTTGCAGCAGGTCTTTATAAGGTTTCACCTGTTCCCGACCAATTTCCATAAAATGTTCTTCAATATTCCGACCCTTAAGTGGTGGTAATTTTAAATCAACATCTTCCAAGGCTTCAGTACTCTCGATATCAATACCATGTCGTTGCAAATCTTGGCGTATTAATGCCGATTTTGTGTGAGGGATATTTGAGGCTTCATCCCTTTGGGAATTAGGAAATATTTGTTGGTGTAAGGTACGGGGTAACATTTGAATTTTGACCACATTTTCATAATATTCGCTGGTACTCGGTTGTGGTGGATTTTTCAAAATATTTGGTTCAGGTCCAGTTGTTGTTGTCGCAGTTCTTGGAGAAAATTTCACTGTGGGAGGGGTGCCACTGCCTTTACTTGATTGCTTGGGTTCCGTTTCTTCATTTATTGTAGGCTTTGTTGCTGTTCTGTTTTCCTCAGTTCTTGTTGGTTCCACTTTCTTATTGCTCCGAAATATTTTAATGGTTGTGCGGGGATAAATCTCTTTAGTCGCAATTTTGGAATAAAAACGATAGGAACTCATGCTTAAGCCTCGAGGAGTACCCCAAACTACGAACTGCCGGTTGCCCTGATGTTTGTTTAGAATTTGGAATCAAAACAGAACGTGTTTTTCTTAAAAAAAATAACAGCTGTTTTTTGTAAAGGGTTAATAGGGTGCTCTAGGCCGAAAAAGAACTAATGGATAGAAAACCAAAATTTTTGGATAAAAACGATTGAAACTTATACTTATGGAAAGGAGTAAAGTTGTATCCAATGGCGGGCCCACAGGTTCACTGGTTCTTTATTTAAAATACACCATAGAATTTTCTGAAAAGCATCAGCTCATTTGCAAGTACAAATAGGGGGCACTAGATCGAAATAAAAGCATTGGTCAATCTCATTGATTTCCTTGATGGCTTCCGGCATAAACTGAAGGAATGCTTGATCAAAACAAAACAGAAATAAACAAAATCCATTAACATATTTAAAAAATCGGAAAAATTGTATTAAAAAATGGCCCGGGAGTTAACTGAATATGAGCTGATTGAATACCCGGGTATGGTTAAGAATACCGATAAAATAATAACCACACTGGGTGGTCTGACAAAAGTCTCACAGGTGAGAAGAATTTGAACACGAAGTATTCCCAAAAAAAGAGGTAACCAATCATCTATCCATCTCTTCCAGGCCCTGGGTGGTGAGAGTAAACGTTTGGAGTTACGTTTTCATCCCGATAATCCCTTCAATAAACCCCTAAGTGGCGATGTGGGTAAACGTGCCGGCCTTCTACTGTCCATTAAGGTACGGCGCTCAAAGCGTAATCCGAATAAGCCACCACAATTTGTTATAAAAATTCTGGGCTATACAACAAAAAGTTTTACATTTGAATGTAAGTAAGGCAGGGGGTGGGACAATGGGAAATATTATGAAATAAAAATTTTACTCTAATTCTTACAGCCTTGTGTGATTTCCAGTATTTACCATTTGCCCCGGATCCCAAGGAATCAACGGGAGAGTTGAAAATGGTATTGGATTCAATTGTGCCACGTTCGGTTATCGATTTGGATTATTATAAGTGAGTAGGACCCCAAAAAAAATGTGTTTAAAAATCCACACCTTGTGGAGGACCCTTAAAAATTATTTAAAAAATTCACGCCTAGAAGAAATATTCTCTAAAAAATCGAAATGAAATTTTGATATTTCTTTCAGTCGCCAAGATGTCCCCGTCATATCCCTGCCCACAATATTTGCCCGCATGGACACAGTACACACCGCCATGTTCCGCGGTGACTTTTCCAAAGAGGATGGCATGCATGAAACATTGGGGGTTCTTACAAAATCCAGCTATGAGGGTAGAGATATTGTGGCCTTCAATATGGTTGATAGTTTCCCCACCCGGCCAGATCCACAAATTGTCAAAAAGATGAAAGTGAAATACGTTTCCGATGAGCAACTGGAGAGAGTTAAAAAGGTGAGATGAGGATCCACTTCCATATTCCCAAATATATTTAAATAAAATTTGAATTTTTTCAGTTATTTGAAGAATGTCCAATATGGACGCGGATAGCTCTGCTCTATGAATCCGGTGTTACCCCAGATAAATTGAAATGTATTATACCCTCTTTGGCGTATTATTTTTCAACGGGTCCATGGCGTACCCTATATGTACGCTATGGCTATGATCCACGTAAATATTTCAATTCCCGGTATTATCAAACATTCGATTTCCGGCTGAGATTTCGTTCGGGTGTATCGGAATTTGTGAGTATGAAAATGAAATTAAAATAAAAAAATTGTATATTCTTAAGTTGATCCTTATAGGTCACCGATCGCAAGACGACAATTAAAAAACGTCTTGAAAATTATGAAATGAATACCCTGGTCCAGGACATTAATTATCCCTATTTTGATGAGCATAAATTGCCAAGGTCAAGGCAATGTATTATGAGGGTGAGTTCAACGCGTTGTACAGTTGTCGAAAAAATTATTTTCGAAATCCACGCCTTGTATAGGTGTCGAAAAAAATTATTTTCGAAATCCACGCCTTGTATATGTGTCGAAAAAAAAAATATTTTCGAAATCCACGCCTTATATAGGTATCGAAAAAAATTATTTTCGAAATCCACGCCTTGTATAGTATTTAAAAAATGTAGGCCTTATATAGGTCTGGAAAATAAAATTATTTAAAAATGTTAGCTTATATAGGTCTGGAAAAAAATTATTTAAACAAATTTCCGACTTGTAGAGATCAATTAAAAAATGGCTGATTTTTTATTTCCAGTACTGTGACATTCGCATGCCCAAGATCCAGGAAATGTTGGAAAAAATTCCCTCACCCATGGCCGGGGCAATGTGTAACGAACGTTCCGGCTGGCTGCCCCAAGGCTTTGACAATCAGGTACGACAAATTGTTAGCAATGCCATAAAGGAACTCCTAAAGAATCATTATCGCAAGGAACAAATATTGGCCGAGGTGGATTCATATGAAAATGAGGTAAGCGGATTTTTTTTTGAAGGACCTAAATTCGATATTCTAAAAAATTGGTTTTCAACAGGATCAAGATGATGCCGAAGATGAGGAATATGATGAGACAGAGGAAAACTATATAAACGATGAAAATTTGGAGGAGATCTTGGACAATATACAAATGGAACAGGATGAAAATCCGAAAACAACATGAATTTAAAATTTGAGAAATAAATGATGGAGGTCTTGAAGAGAACATTGGACAAAATACAAAAAAAATTTTGAGTTCTTGGATTGTTGTGAAATTTCTTTATTTTCCGTATAAGCTTATTTTTGTGTAAGCACATTTATGCCTTGAAGAAGTGTTAGATCTTTTTTCTATTATTACGGTATTTGTTGCTTGCAACTTTCACCTAATTTTTTTATTATTTTCTATTAACCAATTTTGTATAAATGCTGCTTTCATTTCATTTTTTTAATAATTAGTATCTGTAGAGCTCTGAGTGTGCGCGTGGGCATTTAAGGCTTGCATCTGTCCAAGAAACGTGGATACAAGCATACCTCACGAATGTGATAACGGTTGAGCAGCCAACACAACAAACGTTCCAAACCCAAACCATAACCACCATGTGGTTGGGCACCATAGATACGTTGATCTGTGTACCAGTAATAGGGTTTAGGATCGATACCCTCACGTTCATAGCCCTTCAACAATTCCTCATTGTTGTAAATCCTCATGGAGCCACCAACAATTTCACCCACATTTGGCAGCAAAACATCAACACTTTCTGTCAGCTCGGAATCCTCGGCACAGGGTTGCATATAGAAGGATTTAATGTTTTTGGGGAAACGGCACAACATAATGGGTTCATTAATTGTGTCGGTCATTTTACGTTCAGGAGCTTCGGGAATGTCCTAATTAAAACCAAAACAAAAAAAAACTATCTTTAGAGGATATACAGAAAAAAATGTTTAAATCTTCTACCAACCTCTCCAAATTCATAGAAACTACCATCATCCTTGGTGACATTGTTCTCCTTCAGCCACTTGATGGCATCAGCATAGTTCATGCGACGGAATGGCTTAGTGGGTGGTTTGAACTCGGGATTTAATTCATGTACAATATGACCCCATGGTGATTTCATAACACGATCCACAACATCACATACCAAATCCTCAAGACGATCGAGTAGTTCATCGAAGGTAATGAAGGGACATTCGGCTTCAATGTGTGTATATTCAGCCAAATGGCGACGTGTACGACTCTGTTCGGCACGATAACTTTGAGCAATACAGAAGACATCGCCGAGGGCGGGTAGGCAGGTCTCCAAATATAATTGGGAACTTTGGGTAAGATAGGCTTCCTCGCTGGAAAAATACATCAATTATTAAAAAATATTTTTTTTGGGGGATTTTTTTTTTAACAAAATGTTTTTTGGAGACTTCTATAATATTTTTGGAGACTTCTATACAGTGAATCTAATGGTGGATTTTGTAAAAAATAGAGGTTTATTTTTAGAAAAAATATGGTGGAGACTTCTGTAGAGATTTAAAAAAAATATTTTTTGGAGACTTCAACAAAGGTGAATTTTTTAAAAAAATATTTTTTTGGAGACTTCTGTAGTTGTAGACTTTTAAAAATATAATTTCTGGAGAGGTGGATATTTAAAAAAAATATTTTTTGGAGATTCTGTAGTTTTAAAAAAAAAAAATTTGGAGACTTCTAAAAGGCTGGATGTGGCTTTTATACCAGGCGTAAATTATTTTAAAAAATAGTTTTGAGGAGCTAAACACGCCTTGGATTTATTAAAAAAAATATTTTTGAGGATCTGAACAAGGCGTGGATTTTGTAAAAAAAATATTTTTAAGGCTCTACAGTGGGCCTTCTACGAATAGAAGACCTTCTGAAGGTCTCCTGTACATTGAAGACCTTCTGAAGGCCTCCTGTGGACTTAAGTCCTTTCACATGCCTTCTATAGGTAGAGTGCCAGTTTTTCTTTGCTTCCGACTTCCTTTGATAAATAATATCTTACCTAAAGTATTGCAATTTGAACAGCGTTGAACCACCTTCAACTTGTGTCTGCACCAGAGTTGGTGGTGTTACCTCACAGTAGCCACGATCCAAATAATGGCTACGGAAGGCCTGCATAACAACGGAACGCATTTTCAATATCTTTGAAGTGTTCTCACCACGAATCATAATGTGGCGATTATCCAATTGAACATCTGGATGGGCTTCTTCGTTGAGAATGCTTTCGGCACCGCCAGCGGGAGCCAAGCCAATCAATTCCCAATAGTCGACATCCAATTCATGGCCACCAGGAGCCTATGATAAAGAATAGGATTATTATTTTTTGAAGGCAAACATAAATCATTTTTACTACCCACCGATTTGCCTTCGGGTACTGGCTTCAGGGTACCAAACAATTGTACCGATGATTCCGTGGTCAATGTCAAACCATTGTAGCACTGACACAGGCGGTCAGTGAGTACACACTGCAGGAAACCGGTACCATCACGCAATGTAATGAACATCAAACCTTTACCCTGACGCCTGAGACGATGTACCCAACCATAGATTTTGACACGTTTTCCACGATTGTTGCCGCCCTCGAAAATGCGGATTTTCTCAGCCTTGGCCCATGAGGGATCTTCGGCAATGACAATTTTCTTGGCCTCTTCCAAGTTTTTATCACGTTTCTCGGCGTCTTCCGCCTCACGCTTCTCCTTATCGGCACTTTTGTAATTTTCACGTACCCAAATTTTTTGGATTTTCTTCAATTGGGATTTGGCAGCAACTTCGTATTTTTCAACAGCTTCGGGATCCTTGCTGTCGACATAGATCACGGGGAATGGTTCCTTGCCAGCATGACGCATAGCTTGTAAAATTGTTTTGTAGGGTTTCGATTCGGAGCCATCACCCGATTCGTCGCATCCTGTCTTTTCGGAAGTATAAATTGCTCCTGAAATGATTTACATATATACACACATATATATTATATTTCTTTTTTGCACATATTGATTTTGCCGACTGCCACCTCAACAACGTGTAGAAGGTCTTGCAAAGTATTGCACATGCCGGATTATGATTGTTTTTATGAGAATACTTACCTAATGTCAAATTGGCCATTTCTTCAGCAGGCATTTTGTTTATTTTTTTAATTTTCTTTCAATTCCGAACTATTTATTTATAATTAACTCAGATCCGTCTAAATTGCATCAGCGTGTTCCACACAAATGGGTCTGAAAACGATGAATAACACCGACAACGACGTTGTGAAACCGCGTATGGAAGTAGTTGAAGGCCAGCGTGTCGTATGACAGAAGCTAGCTGACAGTTGTCAAAGCGTATTGGAAGTCTATTTAAAAAAAAAAAAAATAAAAACGGCGCCTTGTTTGGGACCCAAAAAAAATTTTTTTTAATAATCGACACCTTGTGAGGGACCCTTTAATAATGTTTTTAATAATCCACGTCTTGTGTTGGACCCTTAAATAATATTTTTAATAATCCACGTCTTGTGTGGGACACTTAAATCATATTTTTAATAATCCACGCCTTGTGGAGAACCCTTAAATAATATTTTTAATAATCCACGCCTTGTGGAGAACCCTTAAATAATATTTTTAATAATCCACGCCTTGTGTGGGACCCTTAAATAATATTTTTAATAACCCACGCCTTGTGAGGGACCCTTAAATAATATTTTTTAATAATCCACGCCTTGTGAGGGACCCTTAAATAATATTTTTTAATAATCCACGCCTTGTGAGGGACCCTTAAATAATATTTTTTAATAATCCACGCCTTGTGAGGGACCCTTAAATAATATTTTTTAATAATCCACGCCTTGTGAGGGACCCTTAAATAATATCTTTAATAATACACGCCTTGTTTGGGACCATTAAATAACATTTTTATAATCCACGTCTTGTGTGGGACGCTTAAATAATGTTTTTAATAATCCACGCCTTGTGGAGAACCCTTAAATTTTTTTTTAATTATCCACGCCTTATGTTGGACCTTAAATAATATTTTTTTAAAAAATCCACATCTTTAAAAGTCCCCAGAAATATTTTTATTTAAAATCCTACGCCTATAGAAGTCCGCAAACAGTATTCTTTAAATTTACACTCTTCAATTATGCCGTATGTCGCCCACCATCACTTCGACTACACAACAATCGATAACTTGTGTTATCGGTTTTTGTTTTGATTTGCCGGCCATCTCCATACAACGTTTATACATTTGTTGCTGATTTTTTTGTTTTGGAATAGAAGTCCTCCCACAGAAATCATGTCCCGTAATAATAGGAAACGGGATGCCCAGAGCAGTAGTTCCGAGGAATTGGACAGTGAGGAAGAATCTCGCCTAAGAGATATCAAGGAAAGAGATGAATTTGCTGAACGTCTCAAGAAACGAGATGAGGAGAGGACAAGGAAAATTATGGAAGCCTCCTCCAGTAGGAAGGCAATTGAGGAGGCTGCCAAACGATTGAAATTGGAGCTGGAGGATAGGGATAAAATATTGCCCAAATTGCGTATAGAATCACGTAGGAAATATTTGGAGAAACGTAAAGAGGATAAGGTGGCGGAATTGGAGGCAGATATTTTGGATGATGAGTATCTGTTTGAGGAATCGGTGTAAGTGTTAAAAATTTGTATCTAAACTCCCCCAAAATTACTGATTTTCCCTCCCTTCCAGTCTCACCGAAAAGGAGAAACAGGAACGTGAATACAAAAAACAATTGCTGACCATCGCCAAGGAACATGAAAAGGCCCGTGAACTGGAACGCATACAGAGATATCATATGCCCAGAGATTTGAAAAAGGGTGAAAAGGAAGAATATGTCGAGGTTGATGAAAATGAGAAAATGCCCCACTCGGAGCAAAAGAAATGGGAGGCAGAACAATTGGCATCAGCCCGTTTTCAATTTGGTGCCAAAGATGCCAAGGCTCAGGAGGAATATGAACTGTTACTGGATGATCAAATTGATTTTATCCAAGCCCTGACTATGGATGGTTCGAAGGATAAATCATCGAAAGAGCCAGAATTATCGGAGGCAGAAAGAAAACGTATGACCATCGAAGAGACAAAGAAATCATTGCCCGTATATCCGTTTAAGGAGGATTTGATAGCCGCTATAAGGGAACACCAGGTAAAAAGGAAATAAAATGGAATGATTTCTTGGAGACTTCTATGGAAATATTTTGAAAAAATCCGCACCTTGCGTAGGTCCACGCCTTGAAAAATATTTTCAAAAAATCCACGCCTGAAAAAAATATTTTTAAAAAATCCACTCCTTGAAAAAATATTTAAAAAAAATCCACTCCTTGAAAAAATATTTTTAAAAAATCCAGGCCTGAAAAAAAATATTTTTAAAAAATCCACTCCTTGAAAAAATATGTTTTAAAAAATCCACGCATTGAACAAATAATTTTAAAAAATCCACTCTTTGAGAAAATATTTTTAAAAAAATCCACGCCTGAAAAAATATTTTCTTTTATTTCCAGATCCTAATTATCGAAGGTGAAACTGGTTCGGGTAAAACAACACAAATCCCCCAGTATCTGGTGGAGGCAGGTTTCACGGAGGACAAAAAGAAAATTGGCTGTACCCAGCCACGTCGTGTGGCTGCCATGTCTGTGGCGGCACGTGTGGCCGAAGAAATGGGAGTGAAACTGGGCAATGAGGTGGGCTACAGTATACGTTTCGAAGACTGTACCTCAGGTAAGGTCAGATTAAGAGGAAGCTATACAAAAATATTAATATTATTTAATTTCAGAACGCACAATCCTCAAATACATGACTGATGGTACCTTACACAGAGAATTTTTATCCGAACCAGATTTAGGCTCCTACAGTGTCATGATTATCGATGAGGCCCATGAACGTACATTGCACACAGATATTTTGTTTGGCCTGGTCAAGGATATTGCCAGATTTCGTACGGATTTAAAATTACTTATTTCCAGTGCCACCCTGGATGCTGAGAAGTTTTCACAATTCTTTGATGATGCCCCGATATTTCGTATACCCGGCCGTAGATATCCTGTAGATATTTTCTATACAAAAGCCCCCGAAGCAGATTACATTGATGCCTGTTGTGTATCGGTGCTGCAGATTCATGCCACCCAGCCTTTGGGTGATATTTTGGTTTTCCTAACGGGTCAAGATGAAATTGAAACATGTCAAGAGGTATTGGCGGATCGTGTCAAACGTTTGGGTTCGAAAATTAAAGAGTTGATTATTATACCCGTTTATGCCAATTTACCCAGTGATATGCAGGCGAAGATTTTTGAACCCACACCACCGAATGCACGAAAAGTCATCTTGGCCACAAACATTGCCGAAACTTCACTGACAATTGATAACATCATTTATGTCATTGATCCAGGTTTTTGTAAACAAAATAATTTCAATTCCCGTACCGGAATGGAATCTCTTATGGTTGTACCGATTTCAAAGGCATCGGCAAATCAGAGAGCAGGTCGAGCAGGGCGTACAGCACCGGGTAAATGTTTTAGGTTATATACAGCCTGGGCGTATAAACATGAATTGGAAGATAATACCGTGCCGGAAATACAGCGTATCAATTTGGGTAATGCAGTGCTGATGTTGAAGGCCTTGGGCATAAATGATCTGATACATTTTGATTTTTTGGATCCACCGCCTCACGAGACATTGGTATTGGCCCTGGAACAGTTGTATGCCTTGGGGGCATTAAATCATCATGGGGAACTGACAAAGCTGGGTAGGAGAATGGCCGAATTCCCTGTGGATCCCATGATGGGGAAAATGTTATTGGCCAGTGAAAAGTAAGAAAGGGAGGTTTCCGATCTATATGTAAAACTAATATTTTTTCTTCTTCCCCTCCTTTGCAGATACAAATGTTCCGAGGAACTCGTCTCCATCGCCGCCATGCTCTCGGTGAACAGTGCAATTTTCTATCGGCCCAAAGATAAAATCATACACGCCGATACGGCTAGGAAAAATTTCAATCATGTGCATGGTGATCACTTGAGTCTCATGCAGGTCTATAATCAATGGGTCGAAACGGACTACAGTACCCAATGGTGTTATGAAAATTTCATACAATATCGTTCGATGAAAAGGGCACGAGATGTCCGCGAACAATTAGTGGGACTTATGCAGCGCGTTGAAATTGATATGGTCTCTTGTCTGCCGGAAACAACAAATATTCGAAAAGCGATTACAGCGGGATATTTTTATCATGTGGCGCGACTATCGAAGGGTGGAAATTATAAAACAATTAAACACAATCAAACGGTCATGATACATCCAAATTCATCGCTATTTGAGGAATTACCACGATGGGTGCTCTATCATGAATTGGTATTCACGACCAAGGAATATATGCGTCAGGTTATTGAAATTGAGAGTAAATGGTTGCTGGAGGTGGCACCACATTATTATAAGGCTAAAGAACTGGAAGATTCAACAAATAAAAAAATGCCAAAGGTCCAGGGGAGGGCAACAATGACCGAATGAAAACATTTAAAAAAATATTGTTTTTATTTTTTTTTTTCAAAGAGGGTATTTTATAGAAGGCGTGGTTTTTTTAAAAAAATATTTTTGGACAACTACATACGGCATGGATTTTTTAAAACATATTTTTGGAGACATACATAAGGCATGGATTTTTTAAAACATATTTTTGGAGACATATATAAGGCATGGATTTTTTAAAACATATTTTTGGAGACATACATAAGGCATGGATTTTTTAAAAAATCTTTTAACATTTTTTTTCAAAAATATGTTTTTAAGGTATGGGATTTTTTAAAAAAAAATTTTATATATATAAAAAATCATATTTAAAAGCTCTTTGTTTTATAATTACATTTATTTTATTTTCGTTCTTGTTTTCTTTTATTTTCATTTGGTGAAATATTACAAAGATATCATCATGGCGAATTTTGTTTACAGCTGTTATTTATTTTTATTATTATATATATTTTTTCAAAATTAATATGTATTTTACTCTGCCTCTTTATTTTGGTGGTTAGAAAGAAAATTATATTTTTAGGTGTGTGTTTTTTTGAGGTTTATTAAATTAGTTTAAATAGTTAGAGAGGGTTTTTTTATTTATTTTAAAATTAATCATTAGAAGATTGTGGGTGTCAGTAGGTTTTATTTTTTTATAAATTTCATTTTTGGTATTTTTTCGTGTTTTTTTTTCATGTTGTGGTTTTTTATTATTTTAAATAATAACACTTATCCGTAAATGTAAGACACATAGAATAGAGTTTGATGAGTTTTGTTGTTTTTTTATTTATTTAATTATTTTTTACCATTAGATGATTAATATTATAATTAGTAATTTAAGTAAAAATGTTTGTTTTAGTGTGTTTTTTTTCATTTTTCTTCAAAGTGTAAAATAATATAGGAAACAGAAGGAAATTAAGGACAGTATTAATGAAGAGTTTTGTAATATACCGAATAATGTGGAAGGAACTGTTGTTTGAAAAAAGTGAACCAATAATGAGAATTTTTGGTAGGAAGTTGTACTACCCATTAATAACTCAAAATACTAAATTATAGCTAATTCGATTAAAAAATGTTGCAAAATTCCCAAAGTAACGAAATTTGGAAGGTGCCATTAAATGGGAGCTATTCTAAAAAGTGGACCAATGTTGATAATTTTTAGTAGAGCTAGAGCTATCCAATGAGAATTCAAAATACTAAATAAATAAATTATAGCCAATTCGATTGAAAAATGAGGTTAAACTCCTCACAATGACCAAATTTTGGAGGTGCCGTTATATGGGGGCTTTCTTTTTCACTTTTTTTTATCCAACTTTGTTTTGTAAAAAGTAAAGAAAAAACTAACAACTAATTACTGATTGGATAAAGGGGTCCTCTGAAATTAATAGAGCTTCCTTTTGAAGTAACACATTTTTTCCACATAACCTAACCTCACTTTATTTGTATAACCTTAAAAAATTGTGATATTTTGCAAAAATATATTAATTTTGGATTACACACATAGATGGGTATACTGTTTCTGTGCATAATTTTGAGTTAGTTTTTTTTTAAAGAGAAATAATTGATCGACAAAAAAATTTTATAACCTAACCGCACTTAGAAAATGTTCATAACCCAATATTATTTTGAAACAAAATATATTTATATTTACTTATTGAATATGAAGGACCTCCTCTGAAATGGCTATTTCCATAAATGGAACAATACAGTTGTTTTTGTATTGATCCAATTAACCTAACCTTAACTTTAACCACTTTATTTTTTTTACCTCAAATTTTCTATTTTAAAAAAATATTTTTTTGTATACACTCTTAAATGAGTCTTTAGTTTTTGTGGATACTTTTGTATAATTTCTTTAAAGTTAATTAATTGATTTACAATGCAATACACTTTTATAACCTAACCTCACTTTGAAAATGATCATAACCCAACTTTTTTTTAAAAAGTACTCATTGAATATGAGGATCCACTAAAGTGGTTAATTATATTTAATGGAACGACACATTTGTTATATATATATATATATATCAAATCCTCAAGGGTGATCGGAATGCTGTTAAAAATTGTAGACCAATTTCAATACTTCCATCAATGTCAAAGATTCTCGAGAATGTAATGAACGAGCAAATACTAGAACATTGCCAACGATATTCAATTTTTAATTCTTGCCAATTTGCTTTTCGTAGAACTTACAACACTGCATCAGCTTAAATTTCAATAACTGATTCCATTAGGCAACAGTTGGATAATCATGTCGGTTGTACCCTAGCTTCTTCGGATGTCACCAAGGCTTTTGATCGTATTAGCCATGGTATTTTATTTTTGAAGCTGCGCGACCACTTTAAATTCTCAAAAACTGCATGTGAACTTATTTATTGATATCTCTTTGGGCGTAGACAGTATGTTACTGTAAACGGGGCTACATCTTCAATTGGCAATGTGACATCTGGTGTTCCACAGGGATCGGTTCTAAGCCCGATTCAGCCATTGTAAGTCAAATTTTCCAGCCATATGTCTATGCTGACACACATTTTCACACACGCCATCAGGAGACTCCTTGTCCAAGGATTGCTTTAAATGGACAAATGATAGAATTTGTACGTTCCTTAAAATGCCTGGGGATAAGACTTGACTCTTGTCTTATTTTTATTGATCATATCAATGACATATCTAGAAAAATATGTTTCACTTTAAGGAGATTGTATAGTCTTAGAGCTTACACCTCAGAGAATATAAGAAAACGTTTAGCCTGTTCGATATTGATGTATATCTTTAGTTATGGTATCGAAATACACTCTGGTACTTGGTCTTATAACTTAAACAGAATAGAAAATATCATACGCAAAGTAGGAAGATATGTTTTCCAACTTAGGATACTCGATCATGTTCGCGCATTTGAATTAACATCTGTTTTTCTTGGTTGTAAGGTTGACGGAACTATATAAGTCAGCGCATAGTTCTTCATTTATATAAGGTAATCAAATTACAATAGCCTGAAATTTTAATCAAGCAATTTGCATTACACTTAATTCTACTCGCAACGTGCAGATCGAAGTACCCTTGGTCAGATCATCAATTTATGATCACTCATTTGTGTTCGTGTCTTCAGAATTTCGAACTGTTAAAATCATTTCTCAATATTGGCTGAAGAGCCATTTAATTTAATCTGTACATATTTTTACGCAAGTTTCTTTTTGGTTCAACTAATTTTTCTAGTAGGAGTGAATTGAGTTCTAACCTCATTTTGATATTTTTCATAACCAAACAATTTGAAAGTACCTAAATGGATGAAAATATTTTTTATTATTATTGTTGTTATTTTTTATTTATTATTATTTCATTTGGACACACAAGTTTAAATAATTAGAATTTTTTAAGTTATAACCTCACTTTTTTAACCTTACTTTTAATAATGACCTTTGATAGTACAAATAAATACAGAGTTAAATTTTGTATTAAGATTTTATTTTATATACATTAAATTAACCTCTTCTTTTCAACCTAACCTCACTTTGAAAATGATTATAACCCATGTTTATATTGAAAAAAGAAAAACATAGATTTGCCCATTTAATATCAAGATCCTTTGAAGTTGTAATTTATCAGGAATGCCTTTTTCGATCCACTTAATCTAACCTCACTTTTTTTTAATTTTGTTATCTCAATTTTTTTGGCTTGATACCCAAATGTCGTTGGAAATGTGTTTTATTTTCTGCATATATTTATAAACTGATTGCTTTTGGGTCAATTAATTGATCCAACAGTAGTAAGTAGAATTCTAACCTCACTTTGATAAATTTCATCTACAAAATTTTTTAACAAAAGAAAAAATATTTCAAAAATTCCTAAATATATAAAAAAAAATTTTTTTTTCTTATTATTGAATTCCTTGAGGCATTACAATTTGAATTTCATTTGGACACACCAATTTAAATAATTAAGAGATTTTTTAATTATAACCTCACCTTTTTTGAATAAAAAGGACAGGCAGAGAGATACTACATTCCTACAAAATGAAAATAAATTAAAAATTCCTAAAAATACATTTTTGTGATGGGATAATTTGAATTTCATTTGGGCACACAATTAAATAATTAGATTTTTTTCATTTATAACCTCACTTTTTTTGCAATTATTATTTTTAATGACCTGCGATAACACAAATATATATTTTTTGAATAATATAGTAATATAGAATTTTTTTTGAAGACAAACAAAATTAAATATCACTGAGAATTTTGGTTTTTTATACATTACACATGTCATAACCTCACTTTTTTAAAAATTTAAATGAATTTTATATAGATTTCATTAAAAAAAAGGAAACATACTGAAGATTTTATTAAACAGATATTATTGGAAACATAACCTCAATTGTTGGAAATTGAATTTTAAAATGAAAAATATTTCACATTTCATTACAAGAGAGTATGATTAAAAAAAGAATTAAAGCTCTTATTAAATTACACCTTGAAGGGAAATTATTGAGTTCCATATTTTAGAATTTGTTTTTTTTTTAATTTAATATTTTTTATTAAAGTTTATATATAATATTTTTCTTTGTTTATAGTTCACATCAACAGAGTTTTTATTTTAAATTATTTTTTTTAAATATATAATGAGATTTTTTGTTCGTTAATTTATAATAATAATATTTATTATTTTATATTTTATAATATACACATTATATTGACAACAACAAATAATTTGCACTTATTTTAAATATATATAATTTTTTTAATCTTAAAAATAATTAAAAAATAAACTTAAGGAAAAATTGGTAGTAGTGACAAAAAACATATTTAGAATTTAAATTTATTTGTTTTTAATTTATTTACTTATTTTTATATATAAATAGTATCAAAAAAAGTAATGTGGGGGCGTGTCGTAAAAAGTTGATTTAGATATTTAGGGGGTTTTGGGGGTAGAGGGTTTGTTTGGGTGCATCTTTGGCCATTTAAAGTAGATTAGTTTTTGCTAACTCTCCTCCTGAAGGAGAGAGACATTATTTTATTTAATAATGTTATTTTATTT